AGGAACTTAATCTGGCTCTGTGGAGAACAAGGGGCACAGGACAAGGAACGTGATCTGGATCTGTAGAGATCAAAGCACTCAAGACAAGGGATGTGATCTGGCTCTGTGGAAAACGGGACACTCAGGACAAGGAACTTAATCTGACTCTGTGGAGAACAAGGCACTCGGGGCAAGGGATGTGATCTGGCTCTGTGGGAAATGGGATACTCGGGACAAGGAATTTAATCTGGCTCTATGGAGAACAAGGGGCACAGGACAAGGAATGTGATCTGGCTCTGTGGAGAACGGGAAACACAGGACCCTTGCATGTCACAGTTTGGATAAGACTGTACAGAGATGGGCTATCTTGGATATAAGAGGGTATAAACTGGTAGAGAATCAGCATTTAACAAAAGCATACTCGCTGCCATTATCACCCAAGGACACATCACTTTTCCTTGGTAGTCCAAAGCATACTTTGTTTTAAATAATTTACAATACTGACATTTTTTGATTCAGGGCTATAAATACTTGAATGTCCTGTCACATCATCATGCATGCGGTTTAACAACATGCAGTATTTTCTATGTAGCCTCTGGCAACACTGACCAGTGGCCATTTGCCCGATTCATGTGCATACATCCAGCCATTCACAGGCAAAAACAGATTGTTTAAGATATTTTCAAAGTATTACATTAGATTGAGCCCTGTTATATTTGGAACAGGAGCCAAAACAGCCAGTTTACCTTCCTGGCCTTACATGAATCCTCCTTTATAAGGTGAGCAGAATTGCTGCCTCCATCTAAATAGACTCATTGAATCTCCCTGTGGTCCAAATTACTCTGATGCAAATTCAGTGAGCAAGCAAATGTAACACAGTCCACCCATTACAAAGCAACAGCTTTATAAAGGGACACCAATGAATATTTAGTGGAGGTCAGCAAGCTGCTGTTCCCTAAAAATACTAAGGTGCTTAAATGGAGTTTGCACTGCTAACATTCTCAAAAACGGCTGCCTAACCACCCAGAATAAACATTCTTCATAATGTGGGTCAACCACGAAATGGAACCAACACATGTGTCCAACGAGGATCAAGAGAAATAAAATGTCTTGCTTTAACTTTTTGTTAAAATCCATGGTGAGTGTGGGCATGGAAGAATGCTGCAGAGATGCATTTTCCATTTGAAGGCTTGGTCACACGCTACTTCCTGTCCGTGGACCAATGAGAGTGAAACTCTATGGCTGCCCTGCTTATGGAAGACCTGCTTAAAATGCTCAATCTCAAAAATATGCAGATCAGTCACAAAGCTGGAAATGCTAAGAAAGTAGTGTGACCTGCATTAACTGTGCATGGTTTAATTACTAGAAATGTCTCAATGAGCTACAAGTTAGAAGCAATGAATACCCCCCCCCCCCTCCCCAAGTGGACATAACAGTAAGCCATCATTGGTGAAATCCCTTAATCTTCTACAATGTCTCAACCTCACAGTTTCTGGAAGATTTGGGGATTTTCCTAAACATAAAACTATCAGGAGTCAACAGCCAGTTCCCGTTGATTCCTCATGACACACAAAGACGACTCGTCGTGTGAGGACATGGCAGACTGCTCGGATCTACGAGCAGACTAGCTGGAATTCTTAATGTCATGTCATACAAGTCAAAGGATTTAGGGCTGTATTAAAATTACAACAGTCCTGAGCACTCTCAGGACTCTCGAGGAGACTTAATCCAAGTTAACCTACTTTAAATAACAGCAACTCTGGCCTGTGAAATCATATAACACAAGAAAGTAGACTGTTGGGCATAGATGTTTGAGTAGGAAAGCAACAACCAACCCCCCCATGCCGGATGCTGAGGTCCCTTCTGTGCGGACCCCCTCTCTGCTTACCTCCAGGGGTGACCTGCATGCTCTGGGGCTGCATCAGGGGCTTGGGGGACGGTGGCAGCGTGGTCGTCGGAGGCTGGGGCACGCCGGGTGGCTTTGCCACTTGATGTGGAACTACTCCTACATCCATATTCACCAGCATCCCAGTCTGAGGGAACTCTGCAATCCCAAAGACACATTGTCATGCATAGATATTGCCAACGGTCCTGCCTATTTAGGATGGTACAAAATAAAGTGTAAAATTAAATAAGGAGCGAAGGACTGACTTTTCAAAGACAAGGAGCGCGGCGAATAAGTCACTTTGCACCTCGATCACAAAGGAGACAAAAATGAAAGGCTGATTGCTTAATAAAATTGACAAAATGATCAACATAAATGCTTCCCTCAATGATTCCTTCCAGATGAGTGCAGTAATGACAAGAGAAAATGCGCTTTGAGACCTGAACTAGGGCTGGGAAACTACATGGATATGATATAACAGGTTTATCATTCAATGAAATTCAAATATTAATTATACTACAGGCAGTCAGCTTGTTATGTGCAACCAACTGTGAAAGTTGAAACTTCTATCGTTAGCCTACTGCTGTCTTGGCACAAAAATGATGAGGAGACAATAATATATAACAACACTTTTTTATTTACTTAGTTACCCACAGGACAGAAATTCCAGGAGTAACAACAAAAACTTCTGTAAATTGTTGAGTGAAATTATAATATGAGATGACTGACACTAGACAATTAACAAAGGCTTATGTGCATTAATCATAACATAAAACCTAAATGACATCACGCAATAAAATGCTGATTTCGGTTAAGGCCACGTTGGTCCCCACAATAATAATTACCAGTGAAATCCAAACAGTTTCCAGACTGTGCTTTTCAGGTTTGGGAAGTTACTGTATCACTGCATTCCTGTTTCACACGTTATTTCACAGAAGATGCAGGCAGCTAATGGGCGGATGGTTGAGATGGGCTGCTGGTCCCTTCCGCTTGATGTTTTGCTCTTGGCCAGGGGTACCTTGAATCTGGGGCTTCGTACCCTTTGGGACGGGAATCCATGCTCTTCAAATTTCTGAACCGTTTTCTGGCTCTCGCTTTCTGGCTGAGCGCCGGCTTCACTGCCTTATCCAGCCGCTCATTAGTGAGTTTGACTTTCAACCTCAAGCCTGATGTTGTCACTGCTGACACTGTCAGATGTTCTCTCTCTTGCCCCATCCAGCTGCCATACTGGTCCCTCAAAGCTATCAAAGTGGAAGGCTTAATAAAAGACACTGTAGTCTAAGGAGGTCATGCCTAAGCACTGTGCTTACACTAAAACAAGAGCAATGTTTCCCAATCCAGTCTTTGGGGACACACAGTCGGTCCATGCATTTGTTCCCTCCAAGCTCCCTACCAGACAGTCCATGTTTTTTCGCTCCCTCCCAGCTTCCTGGGAGGAAGCAAAAATGTGTAAAGTCTGTGAGTCCCCGAGGACCGGAATAGCCAACACTGAACTGGAGTATACAATTCCTCCATTATACAGACACGCCACCATTCAGAATCAGAAGAGGTGCCCGGTAACACATGGTCACAATCACATCCCCAGTCCTGGAGGTGTGTGACAATGCTACCTCCCTACACCAAGCCATAATTAGCTTAATTCAGTCTCAGATTGGCAATTCACCCCAACATGCTTGCAAATCTGTGTGCAGTAGAGCATTAATAATGACTCACCACTAAAATAATCACTGCTGTATTTCTGATTTGTAATTCACCTCTGCCATTTTTAGTATCAAAGAATAATGATAATAGCCTATACTGTTTATTTTGTTAGTTGCCATAGAAACAAGATAAACTAGATTCGGTGCTGTCATAAACGACAGCACTGCATTGCCCGCACAGCTCTATCATTTGGTCTGGCTAAGCTATATTCATCCATCACTCCCCAACTTGCACTATTTCTAGAAGTAATGGATGGACCTGTGTCCTTTTTGTTATCATTGTGTAGCACTACTTCAGTTTTAAGGTGATCTGCCTCAAAATTTCTTCTTTTAGTTCCTCACCCATACAATGCCTGTGCAAAGCTTCAACAAGACCTGTCAAATGTTCTTCGAGTTATTGATTCACACGCCAAAGCATATGTGGCAGCAGCAGGGACGGTGGCGGTCGGACTGGTGGTAAAGCCATACATATTCCCCAAAGGCCACGGAGTACAATTAAATTAGCCTTGTTAGCTTTGTATAGCAGCAGTGCAGGCTAAATTTCCACTGCTGAGGTGCATGACAGTGATGAAGAATTAGACCCAGACTAGGACTTAGCCAAGAGCTTAGTGAAGGCAAATCAAATCATACTGCATTACTTTATTCCCCCCGCCCTTCAGGGAATACACGGTTTTAGCCCCAATCCACCTTAATGAAAATCTAAAAATGATCACTTGATCAGAGCCAAAATTGCAACTGCACCAACAGAGGGCAGCCGAGAGTGAAAACAGAACCTGCAGCCGCCATCTTGTAAACACAGATCAGCTAGTGCTCCGTAGATCTTTGTATAGGTGAGTAATTTTAAAACTGTGGGGTGCAAGATGATTTTTCGAATATTCTATGACAAAGTTTATACTGATTTCTGGTTGCTGGCCTCCCCTTTCAGCAAATTCCATCTGCAGCACTTTGGTAGCCAGTCAGCGTGCATAACTAGCCTTGCTCGAAGGCCAAGCTTCACTCTCAGCTGTGTATATCTATATATTTGTCTCATTATGTCTGAAAAGGACAGCGATTAATCACATTTAACCTTCAAAACGTTCAATCATCATGTAAGATAGTCACTTGTTTGCTAATATTCCTTGTTGTTTTGTTGGCAATGAATTAGTATACATTAAGCGAAAGAGCCAAGAGTTAAAAATATTTGATCTGTAAATACCGTTCTTGTTTATTGTAGGTAATCCCTTCTATATACTGTAAATAAGAACATTTCCGACAGCAACAGATGCAGTTGAATGAATGTTTAAGTAAATCGCGCCAATAACAGAAGCTGTTTAGATAGTCGCATTTAAAGCCATCTCCGTATCAGACCCTAAAGGAGAGCACAAGTGTGTAGCGTCTGGAAACTTCAGTCCGATGACCCGAGTTCCATAGTCTGCCAGCGCCTCATCCTGGTCCCCATGTGAGTCGTGCAAACAAGAAGCTAGAGTGACCAATCCCTGCAGGGCTCGAGCCATTAATGCCAGCAATATCATTTAATGCAGCGAGGACCCGGGGGGGCAGGCAATCTATCTGAAAAGCACAGGAGGAAAAAAAAAACACATTGCTAAAGCTAATACTTAACAGTAGCCTGTATCAGATTGTTAAAGTACATCGATATTTTTTCAAAACGAGGTATAGAATGGCACAACATTGTCTATATCGATATATTTCAATTATATGTCAAGATTAGGGCTTTCCAAAAGATTTTTATTAGAAACTAATACTATTCCTTCCTGGCTGTGAACAGCACAGGAGCTGCATTTGTGGCATTACACAGAATCCCAGAATTCACAGCTAAAAAGCAAACCATTCAGCCTCACTGGGAAGCTGGGGGCAGGCGAGGAATCACTGTTGTTTGGCTCATTTCATTTTAAAACATTGTTAAAGATATAATGATCTGCAATGTTTGTTTTATTTTCTTGAAGGCTGATACCTTTTGAGTTATTAAGCGCACATTAATCGAGCCATTTGGCAAATAGATTTTAGATTTATATTATGAAATTATATGAATGTGTGATGCGTGACCGAGTGGCTGACCCACGCCATGGAAAGAAACAGAAAGACAAACACACAAATGCAAGCAGGAAAACACGCAATCGTACACAGACAGAAACAACTGCTGACAGAGACAAGGCAGCCAATGGCTGTGAGGGTGATCTCCTCACTGCCTCCCAGCCAATCAGGGCTGTGCATATCTGTGCGTGTGTGTGGCTGGCTGGCTCCATCTATGGGGTCTTTGGTAGAAGAGCGAAGGGGAATAAAAGCATAAAAGTCTGCATTTACAAACAATTCAGAAGCGAATCTGTCACTTTAAAAACACTATGTTTGACAGGCAGAGCGAAAATCCATTATAAATTTTGTATTCATTGCCTCTGACTAGGACCAAACATGCATGAATATTTAGAGTCAAGAGTCTCTGGGGAAAACAGAGCCCTTTGTGCACAACTGTTTACCAAGCCGAGGTGAAGCTTTTCTCCTTCGACATACTGATCGCACACATTTTTAATACAGGCTGTATAAACCTTCACACACCAGGACTTAGTTTTTGTCGCTGGTTAAAGGAAAATGTATTATTATTCAGTGAATAACCTTCAACAGCTGCATGGGGAGATTAAAGAAAGAACTGGCTGGTTATAGTTAAAGACTTATTTACATAAAATATGCACAGCGAAAGTACTCTGGACCTTGGCTTCCATGCTGAAAAGCACCAGGTCCCAGTGATATTCCATTATATTATTTAACATTATTGGCATTCGCAGTGAGTGTGACGGTGTGGCAGTGACAGTGCTGGGTTGCACTGCGCCCCCCCCCCACCCCCACCCCCACCCCCAGAAAAATATGCCAGACCAGTTTTGTCTTTACCCAGCATATAGTCAATCCTGCTACAACAGGAGGATCTGGAAGTCAAACCTGCCAATCGAAAGCCAGCTCCCAGCCTGTCACTCTGCCACACTTTTGGGGACATCAGGTCACAGCCAAGTCTGGCCATCAGGCTCTCCGACGAGTTTTTTTAAAACTAGACTCGATATCTTACTGCAGAGTTTCCTTATTGCTTAACAGATGAGAAAGCAGGAAGACTGGTGGAAAAGCCAGTTTAGCACTTAGCACAACTGAAAACATCTCAGCACGAGCCTGTCTGCTGCTACACAGGGCAGAACTCTGCACATTTTCACTATTCCATGTACTCAGATCAACATCCACTCCGATCAATTATTGCCAAGATTTATTTATAGAAGTGCAATAAAGTGAGGTGAATGAAACTGGCAAAGCACCGGGATCTCCTAATGATTAAGCCCATTGACTGCTTTGGCAAAGGCTGGGAGGGTCCTGAGCTGAAAACCAGCACAAAAAAGGGGGGCATCAGTAAGCTTTAAAAGAGGAGTGTGTGGCACGGTACCCAGGCAAGGAGCCCCCCCAACCCCAACCTCCCCAGCTCGGGAG